CCTCGTCCATTCTTAGGGACACAATTCAGCATTCCAGAATGTTCCTCTATTTCTAGAACCGTGCCCAGGCTCCCTGGGACTGTCACTCTGTGTGTATGAGTCCTGCTCATGGAGGATCAAACACATGTGCGTCTACGTTTCACGAAGAGACACAGAGCCCCCAGCCTCGGAGGTTCCGGCATCTCCCCTCACACACAGTGTGACCCGTCGTCCCCCACGCGTTGCGAAACGTGGTTCCCATGTCGTGCTGAGTGTTCTTCCCGGACGATCTCCCTACCCCTCGTGACAACCCTAGAACACAGACACTCATTTACGAATGGGGAAACTGAGGCTGGGCGAGACAACAGATGCCCCCAAGGGCCCACGGCTGGAAGGTGCTGGAACCAGGGCGCGACTCCCCACAAATGGCTTCCAGGACCACTGCTTCTATGCAGAATGTGGGGAGATGCTCACGGACCCCGACTGTCCCTTTTCCTCATGCAAAGACTTTGGAGCTACGGAGACCAAAGCACGGTGTGTCCAAAATCCAGACCCAACGAGACGCTCCGACAGCCCGGAGGGACACCATAGGGACATGCTTCCCCAGCCAAGTGCCCAGTATGCGTGCTCGCGGTGCCCCCAGGGGAGAGGGGCCGACCTTCAGCCTGGTGGGATGACCGGTGAGTGTCAGCATCCCACGAGAGACCGGCGAGTGTGACCAGGACTGGGAATAACGCCCGTCTCTGGTGCACTGCGGTGGCAGGGTCCTGGCATCGTCCCGGGTCTGGCAACCGGGGCGTGCAGGCGCCCCTCGATTCCAGGGTCCCCTGCCTGCAGCACAGGCAAGCAAGTGGCCTCAGACTCCCGTGTCCAGGAGACAAACAAGCATCGGCAGCCCTGACCAGGCCATTGGAGTGGGGCAGGGGCAGGGGCCGGGGGACGTCTGAACAGAGAACAAAAGCCCAGCTGGGCTGGGGGCCGACAGCAGGAGCCGCTGTCCTTGAAGGTCCCGACCACAGCGCTGCATGCCCGGCTCCTGTGAACTGACCCACAGCAGGCTTAGGCCACTTTGGACAGTGCTGTCGGGCCCCAAAGGCAAGCACGGCAGGCTGGACAGACGGCAGCTCAGGGCCGCCCCCCGAAGGCTTCTGCTTCCTCCGGGAGGAAAGGGTTTTGCTTTCGGGTTTCGCCTTCTTCCTGCCATTCTGCAGTTTCTCGGAAAACACATAAAAGTTCTGGCTCACTTCCCTCTGGCCGACGTCTGAGACAACGCACGGCCACATCCTCGCCCGGCTTCCAGCCTCGAACACAACTGTCCCTCCGAGGGGACGAAAGCCACCTCTTCCGGCTCGTGCCCGTTTGTGTCCCTGCGTCTGTACTGAGTTCTCACGGCCCAAAACGTTTCCCCTTCCTCTTCTCTAAAACTCTTTGACGACCCCCCCCAAAGTTCTCCCTGAACCTCACATTCTCCCAGGTGCCTCTGATCCGAGGCCTCTCACCTGGGCTGCCCCTCCCCAGGCACTCACTGGGCTGCGCCCTCATGATTATGAAGGGACCTCAAAGTCTCGAATAGCCTTCTGGCCCCTCCCACCTCCCTGCCCCCCGGCTCCCCCTCTGTGCCGTCCACCCCGGCACCCCAGGCCTCGGCCCGGCTGCGTCTGCCCACCCTCCACCCTCACTCTCTCACTCTGGCCCCCAAGACGAGGACAAAGCAGCCTGCTGTGCACCCCATGACCCACCTCTTCCTCCTCTCCGGCCAGCGTCCCTTTCCGAAGGCGGCAGCTGGGTGAGTCTGAGCCCAGGTTCCCCAGGTGACATTTTCAATAGACGAAAGGTGACGGTCAACTTAGAAGGTCTTACATCGAGGCGGCTGCGTTGATTTTCTTGCTAGCCTGTGAAGGGTCATATTTCCATTGGAAAAGTCACTCCTCTGGCCCTGCTACCTGCGGTGGCCAGGTAATGGCAGGAGAGGGCAGCACAGGGCGGGGACAGGAGCGGGCAGGGCAGGAGGAAGTGGAGCACGGTCACCTGGAGGAAGAAGGGACAGGGCCGGGAGCCAGCGGCTGCCCACGGGAGGGTCCTCGGGTCCTGGGAACCTCCTCCCAGCTACTTGTCACTGTCCGCAGCCCTTGGGATCCGATCTAACCCTGCTCACTTCTGACAAGTGCGGCCTCAGCTGCGCTCCCCAGTGGCTGATTGACCTGGAGCCACACCTGGCTGGCTCGGCTGGGCCTGTCCCAGACACCTCGGGGCTTTTTCACCCCCTGAGAAGAGGACAGAGCCTGGGGTTGCTGGGAGGGATAAAGGAGACCATCATAGGCAGGCGTGCCCACCCCACAGGCCACCCGGTTAGCTCTAAGCATGCTTCCTCAGCGAGCACAGCTGCTGTCGCCACCTAGCGTCCACGGGGGGAACTGTCCGTGGGCATTTGGCCCGTGGTCCTCCAGGTGACGCCCAGAGAGAGGAACCCGGGTCCTGCCCTCAGGAGAGAGCGAGACTCTCAGCAACAGGGGAAGTTTTCGGAGTAATATTTCAATAAACATTTGGAGGCTCGGAGTTCTTTCAAGAAAAATCCTCTCTCACACACACACAGAAAGGCAGAGAATGGAACGACGATGGTGACCAAGGCCCCCCAGGGTGCCCCTGTCGCCCGACAGCACTGTTAGACACCGCGCTGGTCTCCGGCGTCGAACACCCACAGCCGCCCGGGACTGCGGCCTGCCCTTGTTCACTCAAATCGACAGTGAGAAAAGCATTTCCGGTGTGGCCCAGCTCGTGCCCACTGAAGGATGTGAAGTAACATTGACTCCTGCCGCGTGTGCCTTCCGATGCCTTCTACACTCCCTAAGCTCGCCAGATTCGGCAATAAACTGAATTTTATTTAAGCGGGACTCCCGGTTAAACTTGTGTTCCAGATAAATAACAAAGACCTTTGTTTAGTCCCGTCCATATGCGTGCTGTGTATGGGATAGATTTACACTTAAAAAATTATCTGTTCTCTTCTAAAATTCAAACTGACCTGGTGTGCTTTATTTTACGTGTATGGGATAGATTTACACTTAAAAAAAAATTATCTGTCCTCTGTCTAAAATTCAAACTGACCTGGTGTGCTTTATTTTACCTGGCGACCATAATTTCACTCCATCTTTTTAAAATGCTGGTCTCGATCTCCTGACCCGACGTTACTGCCTGCTAGAGAGTCTCAAGCCCCAGTGTGACAGGACTGTGAGCATTTCCTTCCACAGGGGACACCAAAGTGAGGGGACACTCTGTGGAGAAAGTTGGATTCAAACTGGGCAGTCGCCACCTGCCAAGAGCCACCCGCCTTTTAGCTTCAGACGGGAGCAGTGTCCTGTCTAGACGCCACCGATGATGCTCAGATCAACCCGAGAGAAATCTCGGTGAGTCTTTGGCCATGTATGTCCTAAATGAACGTGCTCACTTTCGTATGTCTAAGGACAAAGAGAAAATATGTTCGCAAACAGTCTGTCAACAGGAAAGACGTCGCTCAGTAATTTGTAACAACTTGGACCGTTGCGTTTTCCTCCAAGGACATATGGCAATATTCTTTCACAATTTTTGACGTTTATGAACAAAATCTGATGCCGCGCCTAAGTGAATAAATGCTGAAAGCAGGTGTGTTCCAAGAGAGTGGAAGAAAATACACGATGCAGAATGTTTAAAATCCATTAAATCGATCATTCTGGAATCTCTGTGTTTGTTTTTGTCCTCAGGATATTCCACATATAGCGGCCACAGTGATGCTTCTCCAGCAAAATGCTCATTGGGTCACCCCTCTCTTCAAAGACAACTGTCTTTAGTGGCTTCTGTGGCTTCCCTCAGCAGTCGAAATAAAAGCTGACATTTGTTTCTCTCTTCTATAAGTGACAAGGCCGTACACGATCTGGCCCTTTTTGACGTCTCTAAACACAGCTTCGGGTTGACTTTCGTCCAGCGGACTCCTCGCTGTACCTCCACATCGCGGGCACGTTTCTGCGCAAGGGCTTGCTCCTGCCCCGCACGCGGGCTGGACGGCTCTCCACATGGACACTCACGCGATAGCTCAGTGACTTGCTGCGGATGGTTATCAGTCGGGAAACACAAACTGCACGGAGTCCTTCAGCAGAGGAGCCCGGGCGTGGAAGCGGCCGAGCACAGGAGGAGCCCAGGGTGACGTTATGTGGACACCAGATAGCAAAGGCAGGAGCGGCCAGCACCTCTACCACGGCAAGAAGCAAGTGGAAGGGCTCGGGGTTATCAGGCCCTGGCAGCCCGGAGGAGTGGCCGGGGGCTGTGGCTCCCACACCCGATGACAGGGCACCGATCGTCCGGTGCAGGGACCTCTGCAGCTCTGAGGAGGAGTCCCAGAAAGGTCGATCTCATACCCTCAGAGGAAGGGCTGTTGGCCAGCGGCGCTGATGACTCAGAGGACCCAGCGAGGGGCCTGGAGAGCTGGGACTCGGGACTCTGAGATGTGTGCTCCCGGCAGTCGGAACGAGACTCGTTCTGAGCACGCCGAGAATCTGTAAAAACCAGTCAACTATGACCTCTGGGGTGAACGGGTCATTACTGGAGCGATGCCGACAAGCAGGACAGAAGAGGTTCCTCCCTTCCCCCTCCCGCATTCCAGGCTCCTCCCACCACACTCTGGTGGGAGAGACGGCAAGAAGCCAGCTGACCATGGAGAAGTACAGTTTGCAGAGTCCCAACCATCGCTTTGCAGAATACTGAGTCAGAATGACTTCATTTCTGGGGCCTGTTCCCTCAGAGAAAGTCTGCATCGGTAAATCTCAGGCAAGCAACGAAAGATCTAGGTATCCAGTTGCTCCGAAGGTTAACTAGATTTGGAATAAACCCTGATCTAGAAGAATCTAGTAGTGAGGAAACTGAGTAGTGCTGAAGTCTGTTATGGTCTCTCACCATTAACTCTATCGGTCAACCTGGCGGAGCCACCGGGGGCCCAGATATTTGGTCAAACATTATTCTGGGTGTTTCTGTAAGGACGCTTTGGGACGAGTTTGATGTTGAAATTGGTAGACTGAGCAAACTGGATTGCCCTCGATAACGTGGGCGGTCCTCGACCAAGCCGTTGTTCTATTCAGGCCTGAACTGAACGGAACAAAAAAGCAAACCCCAACCCACCCCCTGCCCCCGCCAAATAAGAGGGAATTCCTTCTGGCTGAATGCCTTCGAGCTGGGGCGCTGGCTCCCTCTGGCCTACGGATGGAACGGAAGCGTGAGACTAAGTCCAGCCACGCCGTGCTGGCCTGGGCCTCCAGCCGGCGGGAGATGTTGGGGTTTGTCAGCCTCGGTAAACACGTGAGCCCGTTCTCATCATATGTCTCTCTATATATGTTTTTATAATTAATAAAGATAAATGAATAAATCAATCATTCTAATGTGTGTTTATAAGTCGAAACGTGGAAATATTTTATAATTACGAACAGAGAAAACGGCATGCTCTCTTCGACAGAATTATGAGTCACAGATTTCAAAAGCTTCTTCCAGATGTTGCACTTTGATAACGTCACTGCACGAAGAAGAACAAGTAGCGATGAACTAGAACCTCGTCAAGGTGTGCTGGAACCTGCCGTCAGCATCCACAAGGTGTGTTGCAGGTTCACGCACCACAGGTGACTGCAGCGGGCTGCTGTCGACGGACGCCATCTCTCTGTTCCGACAGGGTTATGTAAGTTGTTTGTGAAATGACTGAAAGTAAAAAAAAAAGGTGAAGGGTCCATTGGACCCAGGTGGCCCACGGCGGTGCCGATGGGGAGAGGTTGATGCACAGTGAGGTGTGACAGCAGCTCAGGAGCCACGGAAGATGCCCTGCTGCTTCTCAGAGAGACATCATGTCAGAGACCTCTGACCGGCTTCTACTCCAGGTGAAAGGGGGCCGGGTCGGCGATTCTGTGACACAAGCGAGGCAAAGTGAGGGTGGCCGATGACACCAAATGCTGCAACATGAGGGTCCGCTGTTTGCTCTGCTCTGGTGAGCAGAGCAGATGCTTCCACATAGATGCTTCTAGGTGGATGCTTCCATAATAAAAAGTTTTCTTTAAAAGAAAAAGAACAGGAAGAAGCTTCAGTGGCAGGGGATCCCTCTCCATGATTCGGAGTCGGGCCTCAGCACAGACCGCTCGGCCCTCCCTGGGAAGACCCCAGGCGGCGGGGGTCTGCCGGCCTCCCCAGCCCCACTCCGTATGCGCTCAAGTTCTGCTCTGCAGAGCGGCCTTGGCGAGATCCCTGACACGGGGGCCTCTGGGAGGGGCTTCTCGCCACGGGGTGGCAGCCATGGAGGGGACCCCCGGCGAAGGTGGCCAGAATCCTTCCAGTCTCCACCAGTCCCACCGTTCGGCACATTTCGCAGGTACCTCTTCTCCCCAGGCAAGGGCCGTGTGGGACCAAGGCCGAGGTGGGCACTGCCACGGGAGGGCCTGGGCCAGCTAGGGAGGCCGGCTCTGAGGTCCCGGAGGCAAGGCGGCCCCTGCCAGGGGGCTCGGCCAGCCACATCCAGACCAGTCTCCTTCACAGATCCTCCCCGGAATGTCGCCGAGATGTGCGGCAGCTGCAAAGTCTGCCGGTGGGATGGGCCACAGGTGGCACCAGCTCCTGGCGTCAGCAGAGGGGCCAGTCTGTCATCCTGCCGCCTGCTCACCTGTCCGGTCCGGGCTGCTGTGAACAAATACTGCGACGGGGGTGCTTCTGAACCACAGGGCTTTCGTTCTCACAGCTGTGGAGGCTGCAAGTCCAAGGTCAAGGCGCCGGCAGGTTTGGCGTCGTGTGAAGGCCCACCTCCCGGTTCACAAGTGGCTGTCATTTTGTGTGTCCTCACTTGGTGGGAGGTGAGGGAAGCCTCTGGGGTCTCTTTAACGAGGCCTCTTCCTTGGTTCGTAGATGGCCGTCTCTGTCCCGTGTCCTCACGTGGTCGTCCCTCTGTGCGTGTCTGTGTCTCATAAACACACCAGTCGTATTAGCTCCGGCTCACCCTGGCGACCTCTTCCTAACTTAGTTCCATCCGGCACAGACTCTACCTCCAGACGAGGTCACGTTCGGAGATAACGGGCCAGTTCCGATTTAGCCCACACATGGGTGCTGGAGCTTAACCTGGACAAAGCAGACACAGTCCGGGCCCCACAGGCCCCAGAGCCTGGCAGATGTGAACACGGCCCTGCCCACTGGGCCCTCGAGGCTGTGGCCTCCCCTCACCCAAAACCACTGTGGAGACACCCAGCCAGGCTCAAACCCCCCGGGCATGTGCAGACAGGGTGTGGGCAGGCCACAGGTGTCACGGGCGTCCCCGAGTCACCTGTGCCACCTGTCCCCACAACCCCCGCCCACACCGTGTGCAGGGACGCCTTCCCAGATGCCACATTGTCGCGCCTCCCCTGCGGGCATGGAGCTCCCAGCGCTCAAATCAACACCCAGAGAGTAAATATAACAGCACGGCATAGAGCAGATGTCAACATATGAGCTCACGGCCAAGGCCCTTCCCCTTTCAGGCCTCTCCTGCCCCACAAGACGGCACCCAATGCCCGGGCTGCCAGTTTTATTCAGCAAATGCTATTCTTATGAACAGCTGACCCAGATTCTCAGCTTGAAGTAGGACGTTTCCCAGGCAGTCAAAGATGCAGAAGGGTGAATTTAAATGATGCTTAAAAGCATGGAAGCAAATTTGGGCCGCTGTCTCTAGCGGGGGTGAGGGTGCGGGCGCCAGCCAGAGGCCACGGGGCCCGGGCGGGACCCCATCACAGTCCGCCTGCCCCATGCCTCTTTCCCCAAGCTGGATGCTGACTCACGGAACCACTGCAGAAAGATCTGTGTTTTAAAGTTTAATTAACCTACATTCTTTCTTAGATCTCATGACCTGATTTTCCATCCTCTCTGCTGGGGCCCACACGGCAGCGGCAGCGATAGAATCACTTTCCGTTTTAACCCCAACACTCCTCCAACAGGGCTTGACCCCCAAAGCAAAGGATGTAGGCGTGAGGAAGCAGGAGGAACCAGTGACAGACACATTAGTTAGCATCTCTCTTCCCCTTGACCTTTGCCTCTGGAATCCTGGAGGCGGGGTGAGGGGACAGGCCCAGGCCGGTCGTGCCCCGGAGAGTGTGGGAGGGTAGCTGGTCCAGGGTCCCAGCTGCTGAGCTCCGGGATTCGTGCTCCCAGCCAGGGACCTGGCCTGCCGAGGCGCGAAGGCAGGCCCGGTCCTGGGAGACGGGGCTTTCCCGATGGCCAGTCCTGGCTCGAGGATCCGCCGATGGCCGTGCCAGACCTTCCTTAGGCTGCACCACCCGCGGACAGACGCTGCCCTCGCCCCTCCTCACTTCAGGGTCGGACCTGAGTGGCTGTCACCTCCTTCCTCACTTTCCCTCCCCCAGCCAGGTCCCCCAATAAAACATTTGATCCGGTGCTTCTCGGGGACCCAGACGGACACAGAGTCCGCTGCCTCACCCTCTCCACCTCCACCGCCCAGACCAGCCCTCACCTGACAAGTGCCAAGGCCTCCGGCCTGGTCTCTCCGCTCCCGCCTGTCCCCACGGTCTGTCCTCCAGGCTGACACTGCCACCCACACCGCGGCTCCCAGCCCACCCAAGTTGAAGCCGAAGTGCTCACGCTGCCTGGCCTTGCAGGCCTGGCCCGCCCCTCCCTGGCCAGCCGTCCTCTGTGCCCCTGTCATGCTCTCCGCTCAGACCAGACCAGCGTCCATCACTTTGCTCTACCGTCCCTCCACCCTGAGCTCCCCCAAGACTTGCAGGAGGGACTGACCCTGCCCTTTCAGGCCTTCTTCGCTTCTTCCTTCT